AACGTCCGGGCTATCGCAAGATCACGTGACACTTCCATTAACATAATTTTAAAGAATGGGGATATTAAATTACTGGCGGTTTAATTTTTGCTAGATGAAACTGTTAATTTTCTAAAATAAAAGATAACATTAAACGATATAAAAAAACATGTTAAAATAAAAGGGATATCATGTTGGAAATACTGGTACATAGACATTGAATGACAGCAAGGAAGTGTGTAGAATCTTTTTATCTTGGGCCAGTCTTCAGGTGCTCTGACTCTGTAGCCGTGTAACCCCAACCGATTCTAAAGGGGGCGAGGAGAGGGGTGAATCTTGGAGGGGAAAAAACTCGGAATATCGTTATGAAAGAAGCGGTGGCCTGCTTAAGTTACTCGGAGGGAAAGAAATCAATAAGAAAGAGTCATAAATACAACATGTCCACCAAGAAAAGATATGTGGAAGATGGTTTTATTCTTAGTAGAATGTTAAACATGGTTCAAATGGCTTTCAGGATTAAATACAAAAGGTCCTTATTAAACAAATAAAAATGTATGTGTAAAAAGATAAGTTAAACTACAAAAATTATCTCGAGTTCACCAAACGCTAAAGAAAGAAAAAATCAAATGAACGCGGATATATTTGAAACTAGGACAGCTTTCTGTCCCAACCTGTTAATCACATCGCATAACAGGTTAAGCGACCCTACACACCAGTCGATATGTCGAAACGAACTGGTTTTCAAAAGTACCTTTAGAATATGCAGGCAGTAAATTGTAAGGGCGAGGAAGGAAATGGAAGGGTGGGGAAAGATCGAGAGTGGGTTGTATAAAATACGTGTTTAACAACAGACGTTTTTTTAAAAAGGTAAAAAGCATATAAGTGAAATAGAAAGCCGATAGCAGCAGGATAAGGCTCGCCTCGGCAGTCGTGTCTGTTTGACCTGGGAACTAAACGTTGGTTATACATAGTCAGTCATGTATACACATGATTTTTTTTTAGAGAGGAAGTCAAATCGTGTTCGGCGTTGTCACACACTCTACAACTTTTAGCCGGCGTGGCATTCATTAGTGGAAAGAATAAAATCGACTCATTAACATATTTTATATTTTTAACAAGCATTAAAAACCTTAATACCTGGCAGTAGTTTTCTCCTAACAAATTAAACTTGAACGTTAGGGAATGGGGAAATGTTTTATCAGCTACCGGACAGCTTTTAATTGAAATCCCCCTACACCCCCTCCCTCCCCCATTTTACTCTTAATGACATTGTAGTAAAATATAGAAAAGCGGGAAAATCTCGTGAAGAAAAAAAAATCATTAATATCCGGGCATTTCTATGCAATGCAGATGTTAAATCTAAGCAAATCGGTAACGTGAATTAATTAGACGAACATATTAAGGTAGAAACAGATGTGTGTTTGCAGTAATTGAATCTCTCTCCACATCAACCCGGACAGAGCATTTACAGTCCGATGGCGATTTAAAATAACTGTCCTCCTTGTTTAAGTAAAGTTACAATCAATACCGGAGCCAGTCGATTTGAAAAGCTCACGTTCGCCTTTTATGAAGCGGTAGATAAAAAAAAAATTAACGCACCATTGGGTTGATCCAGTATCAAAGGAAACATTCAGGCCAAGTAGAAAAAAAAAATATACGAGGACTGATGTTTTTAAAAGTTTGGAATGAAAGAAAATATCAGGTCAAAATGACTAGTTGGAGAGTGAATAAGACGGTCATTAAACAAATCAAATAGCAGCGACCAGCCTGCAAGACGTAGACCACAACGCTGTGCACAGGTCTAAGCTTATCGCCCGAGTACTTGTGAAAGCTGAAAATGTTAAACATATCAACCGCCTCTGTTTATACAGACAAGATCGAATTTTCGCCATTTACTCTGTTATTGAAATCAATTTGAAAGGGAGGAAAGTGGTGATTGCTAAAGCTATCGATCTTGCTTTTCAACGACCCTATTCAACGAATGATTTTTGTCGTGTCACCCAACAAACATATGACTGATGACAGAGTACACTTGCCAGAGCGCAATAAGCGAGGCCCTACAGCCCAACATTCCAGCACCCGGACTTAAGTGTCTGTGTAGGAAACGTATCAAAACAATCGTGTCCTGCCGGGTCAAAGCTTCACTATCTCGATCAAACACGGGCACCTCTACACGTTAGTGCATCAGTTAAAACAAAACGCCTCAACTCGACTTTAAAATGTAACTACCTTTAGCCTGTACCACCCCCTGGGGACTTTGAATTTGTGGATATTCAGAACATGAAGTTTTGCGTTACTCATATGTCCACCTGTCGCCACAAGTGGCAGCCCATACGCGTTATACTTGAGCAGTCACACACATGTTGTGGCTTTGTTAGAAAATAATCACTAAATGTTTTTTTACTGTGTTCATTTTCAGCTGTGTTGATCGGGGACACAGCCCTAAACGCGTGTCAAAGAAGCGCCCAATCAATGATAACACTTGCTTAAACCGCCTCTAGGTGTGGGTGGCAAAGACAGAGCTCTCAATTTGACGACTATTTAACAAAGACAACAAGTGACCTATTTCAGCCGTCGACTGACTGCTCGCTAATGACTTCACACAACAAAAATGATAAAGAAACAAAGGGAACGTGACCACCTGTTCAATGATACGTCCATTGGAGTCTGTATGGTGGCTGTGTGTAAGGCACTTTTCTGAGCGACTGGAGCTCAACAACAGATGACGGTTGATATGAGACAACACGTTTCGACAACCACAGCTAGATAATAGACATACAAATGTCGCATAAAACTCGAGCTGTACACGGCTACAATTAACTACATTTAGCCTAGTCGTTAACACAGCCAGGACTTACTGCTTTTTAATTTTCTAAAGCGTCTGTTTGTTTTTCCTATACTAATCAAAAGGGCAGAAGATTGTATTAACTCCTGGAGCCAGAGAAGTTAACGATTTTAAATGGATAACGCTTAATTATTAATATGAACCTTGGAGAAATAGGCTAGGCTGGAAACTGTTGGATCAAAGCGAAAATCTCCCCCCCCCCCCCTCGGTGGAATATTTAGCATATTAAATAGGTTGATCTAAATGTATCATTTAGCCTTAAATGTGTCTGGCTTGACTATATGTTTGTATGCTTGTATGTGTGTGTGTAAGTATGTATGTAGGCCTATGTGTATGTATGTAGGCCTGTGTGTGCGTGTGTGTATGTATGTATGTATGTATGTATGTATGTATGTATGTATGTATGTATGTATGTATGTATGTGTGTATGTGTGTATGTGTGTATGTGTGTGTGTGTGTGTGTGTGTGTGTGTGTGTGTGTGTGTATGTATGTATGTATGTATGTATGTATGTATGTGTGTATGTATGTATGTGTGTATGTGTGTGTTTATGTGTGTGTGTGTATGTGTGTGTATGTATGTGCTGTGGCTCCAATTGATGAAAGGAACAAGATCACCAAGAGCTGCTTTCCCCATTGCCACAAAAAATTAAATAATAATCCATCATAGGTAGCGGATAATGAACGTCTTCAATACAACAGGCCAGCAACCGTTATCGGTGAGAAAGTTCAGCAGCATTATGATGTCAAGATGTTTGCGCTGAATGAACGTGAAAACGGCTGGGTACTCAGATTAGGAGGGCCAAGTGAATTACTGCTCAACCACTTCATCTATACCAGCCAATTACTGATCGAATAATTGTGTTACCAAGAGAATCGATCACTGGAAGAAATCATGCTTGTCCATGTATGACGATTCCACCTCAAGATAATGTAATCACTAAGAATCATAAAGATGTTTTTTCTTTTTTTAGTTTTCAAAGCCAGCGTAGGAGTTTTAAAGTATAACAGTGTGTACATTCCCACCAAGATTTAACTTTAAAAAAAAAAGTCTCTAATCGAATCATATGTAACAAGACTCAGGATATGTGTTGAGAATAAATCAGCCGGAATGAACACCATCAGCTGCACCAACATAGTGCTATAGCTCTAAGTATGAGGCGAGGTAAAGACTCGTGTAGACTAATCTCCAGCACGTAACACGAAGTTTTATTCTCTAAGAACACACAGACTGTGTACACTGACCAAGGGCTGGATGCGAGAAGAGTTATATCTTCTTGTGACTACTGTGCGGGCTAGACATTCAATTACTCCTCCTCGACACTAGATATTGATAGAGTTTTACTGGATCCGAATTTTATTGATAAAAAAAAAGGGGGGTAGAGACATTTGGACGGTCCATGCATAGACATCACGTAGGGATAAATCAGAGCGTTTGTAAGTAGGGAAGGGGGGAAGAATTCAAAGAATGATTAAATCAATGATACATTTCCAAATGGAAAAGATGTGATTACGAATAGTAAAATCAAAACGTACAATAACTTGGCTCTGTGATGGCGATGATCGAGTATGTTTTAAGTTGGGAGTGGGGGAAAAAAACTCAACATGACAAATGACTGGTAATGAAATTGATGAAACGTTTGTCACTGTAATGTGAATCTTTAAAACGTATTTGTGTTTACCCTCGCCTCTGTTTTTTTACAGTCATGTAGTGGATTTTATGGATGGATCTTTAAACAGAAGGTCTAGGGGGCTGGACATTTAGAGTACCAAGAAAAATTGATTCTGCTTTATGACGAATAAGGGATGTGGGTGAAGCCAGTGCATATAACCAAAAATCTATACTGAATCATACCGTTCTTCTGGTTAAAGTGATGTCGTAAAAAATGGGATGACTACCCTTTAACAAGAATGTAAACTAAAAAAGAATGGCAGAGATGGTATCCCATGCCTATCTATTGTAAAAGGTTTAATAAATCGATAATAATAAGTCAATGCAAATACCATCATAAACATTTCGTGAAATAGGATGTGTTAAAACAATACAACAAAATATATTCAAAATTGTTTTCAAGTTCATAAACAGGAAATAATGTATGCGCATTTTTAAGTGCCATAAAGGAAACGTGAGTACGTACGGTCAAAAGCCTATAAATCAAATAAAAGATATTGACTCACCAAATCCTGTTTAAGGGAGATGGGCACGTACTGGACGTAGTAGTAGGGGTGCATCCTCAGCCGTCGGTAGGAATGGACCGCAATGGTGGACGGTGTGCGGAGCAAGCGCGGGGTGCTTGTACAACCGGCCGGGATGGCTGCGATAATGACGGCCGATTAGCCCCTCGCCGTCTCAACAAGTGCTGGGGAGTAGGGAGATGTTTCTGCTCCTGATGTCGCCTGTTGATGGCACCACCACCACCAACAATACACTCTCTGGGATGATGAGGGGAACAGTTGTTGCAGCTGCTGCCGGATGGCTTGCTCAACGTTACCACGTTGAACACAATATCAACAATAGGGACCAATCGTGCAGGTCTGGAGGCGGGGAGGAGTGAGCTCCTATAGCAGTTACTTTTTTTCTTCTTCTTCTTTGAAACGTGAGCACCACTTTGAAAAACGAGCAGTGATAATTTCAATGTTGCTGCTCCCTAAGGTGTTAATGACTACGCTCTGCTGGCGGCGGTCACGATTAAAGGCCGCGTGTTAGCAGAGCGAGGCAGGAACATGTACAACAATCACAATCATTGACTTAATACACAGTCCAGTTTTCAGTTTACAAAAATAATCCGTTAATCCTATACACTGTTTGCACTACAGGAAAAAGTACCTGTCTTCCTGCTATGACATGCATAAGAACATATGAGTATACAGTAGAGTCGCGATCAGTAAGGTGTAAGTAAGCTTGTATCAATAGCACAGGGCGGAGAGAGGGTTGGCACACCAGTAGCGTGTCCCACTCTCTTATCGGTGAAAACTCTCATGCGCAGCGAATGAAGGCTCGGGGACGACTAAGGGGAAAAATAAACCACCGCTCAATTCAACTGTTCAAAAGCTAACGGTTCAAACGGTAACATAACTTTTGGCAACAGCATGTGTCTATATCCGGTTACACCGGGACATTATTGACACACGCAACCACTAGAAAGAAAAAAAAAACTTATCAAATTACTTTCCCCGCATAATGTATCGATTTCACTATAACAGGTGGTCAAGTAAAACTAACTTAAAACGTTCATTTAATAGAGTGGAGAAAGGGAGAAAATACGCCTGATGGTGTTGTGTTGCATGCATAAACAGGGTCAATACCATAGCATAGAGTGTGCTTATAAAATTACTGGAGTAAAACGTGTACAGTTTTAAAAAAAAATTCTGGCTGAACTTTACCACAACTTTCACGTTAGTCACACATAAACCGAGGTAACCAAGTTATTTTAAAATCGCCAAAATACCCGGTAAAACTGAGACGACCAGAGTATCTTATCAGAATTAAACTATGAAATCTTGAAAAACACACACATGATTGGTATATATACACATTCAAGTTTGGCCATAAGTAACAAAAAATTGAACACATCTATCTAAGTTGAGCTGTACCTAATCGGCAACCAAACGTATTATCTTCCACTCCACCAATAACTACACTGGCCGTCAACAATACGCCTAGTCACAAAAAGAACATTCACTATCCTTGAAATGAACACGCGAATTGACTGCTTACAGTCCACCAAACGAGTGTGGTGTATTTGTAGCTTTATCTCGTCATACTAATCGCGACGTGACATCAAACAAAGAACGACTTGCTGTGTCGGGGGTCGACTGATCGGGCGTTGTACATAAGAAAAACTACCGACACACGTTTTCATACCTGTTGCTTAAATGGATGACATATCGAGACACCAATCAATAACCCTGACCTCAGTTTCAAGTAAGTTTCCACTCAGGCCAAATGAAAATGGTTTACTAAAGTTAATCCAACATTTTTTAAAAAAAGGCTGAAGAAAAAAAAAATCCTCGAATGATTAAATTGTATGGCGAAGGGATCGCTGTGTCGCATTAAAATATTTAAAGCATCGAGTACGCGTGGCGATCAAATATTTTAACAAACATCAGACCAATAACAAAATAAAATCGAATGTTCGGGTCAACTAATGAATATTGAATAAGCGGATGAACTGCCGGTATGTGATTTCTCGTTACTCTAGGCACCGGTTAGTTTGAAACAAATTACCAACAGCTAGGTTAGGATACGCATCATATACTGAGCCAACGAATTTCCTTGATAGCCTCGAGGATAAAAAAAGCCCGAGTCACGCTGTCTCCTGGCAAACGTATGTGTCGTCAAGTTCGCGAGTCACTATCCAACTATAATTGATGAGATAGTTTCATGTACACGTTTATCCCAGCGAGGTGGCAATCCAATAGATGATCGGGTGCTAAACCAGTGAGCTGAAACTACACAGCACTTTAGATCGACTCCAACACGCTTGACACTTGTACGGGACTCAAAAGCTTTATATTTGCCGGGGATTTCTCGTGCTTCAATAAACCTTTAACCAACGCTCGTATCACCCTATAAAAAGAAATGCGAACAAACAATACACGCGCCAGTGCCTGGTGATATAAAGGACAAGTTTGGTAGAGGAAACATTACGGAATTAACGATTAGCTTCAATCGAGTCGGTAAAAGAAGGCCCGATACAGTTGTAGGAATTCTAGAATCAATCGAAAATGTCGATTTCTTGATTGTAACTATTTACCATCACACGGTAAGCCCAAAACAATGATCACACAAAAGATCCGTCAAGTAAAAAGAATAAACACAAGCACACACTAGACCAGTATGGCTTCATCAAACACATGGCCTACTTCGCACAATGCACAAACTGCATTCAAGGTGTGTCATGCTAAAAGGGTGGGGGTTGTGGCCTAATAGATCGCAGTTTAATCGGAAACTACTGGCCTGTTATCTGTATGGCCTAGATCAGCTCGAATGCACGAAGACGTCTGGTAAGTTCTAGTGAAAAGGTAGAATCAAGACCCAAGCGCTGTTTTAATTACTTAACCCTCTCGATCTAAAGGAGAGGAGAGCTTTGTGTCGAAGCATGTCTCAGACGCGAACTGCTAACCACTTTCTGCTTTTCACAAACTTGAAGAGGGGGGAAAAAAATCACACAGATACACACGATTAAATGTGTAGGTGTAATGTGTGTTTACATAGTAAGTTGGATCCCGTCAAGCAAGTTGGCGGGATATGTTCGTGCGAGTTTGTTTTTTTATGACTGTAAGAAGTGGCTTGTCCAGGGTGAAATAAAAGTCTTAACGTTTTTACAAATGATAGAGAAATCTACATTAAATGTATATATATACAACCATTAAGGGACTAAGCGCTGGGAGAAATAGACAAAGGAATTAGCTTTATAATTTCCCCTGAAGCTGCGGGCAATACATCAAGTATTGAACTGCGTGATCGTTTTGATGTTGCTTCCCATCTTATTAGGCGCGTCCTTTGAATCACGGGAAAAGCTGGATGTCCGTGTGCTTGGGCCAGTTTTAATAACTCGGGCTAAACAGAAGGCTCCATTCACGCGACAGAGGGTGGGGCTGGCGCAATATGGCGACTGATACACTTGTACACCTATTCACCCGTGTCCGGCAGGGAGTAGTTTAAAAAGCCTGGTGATCGATGGCCCACACAACATAAAAAGCTATTCCAACACCATCACTGTGTTGTCGTGAAGGGGGGGAGGGCGGCGGAGAGAAAAATCGTTTCAGTAGTTACCAAAGACAATCAGTTGTGACCAGTTAACGCACCCAGAAAGTTTATAAAAAAAAACTGAACTTAAAATTATTCTAATGACTGTTATCATATTGTTTACTTGAAGAAGTCTACGTGTGTACTATCAGCTAAGGACAAAGGTTATTCTTAGCGCTATACCCTTATCCCGTAAATTAATGCGTTATCTTATTTTCCTTTTCTTCCCACGCAGTGCACTGAATAGTACTTTACAAATATCCAGCAGTACCCTGTTGGATATTTTTAAAAATAAAACCCCCACCATCGCTCCTATGGAAGGAGACCTTAAATTGGATGAGCTCTAACAGGTGATCAAGTTAAAATTCGCTACATCATCCTTAGGCAAAGGGTCAATACAGGTGATAAACACGAGTACATCGGCACGGCTGTACTGCTGAACTAGTGATAAGAAATGGGTAAATCCAATGATATAATCATGGCCTTATGACCAAGGTCAAGTGATAAGGTTCACAATGAGATGGACTGAGGTGTGTCATCAGCAGCAGAGAATGGATGAAATCTAGCAAAGCCCGAGATACCATGACAATCCCCAGAGTTTCACATTCTGTCTGTCACACAAGACCCGACCTCTTTGGTCAGGGGAGACTCCAGATTTCTTGTGTTACCACTGGCTTGGCCTTAATATGCTGCTCATCAAGTTATTCGCTCGACCTCTCTCCTGTGTCAATTGATTGCCTGGTTGTTCTAGTGATGGGGTAGTCTCTCGTGCTGCCTACCAATACTAGCAGCTCTACAACATCAGGCAGCAAAATATACCAAACCAGACTTCAGTTAAAAGGCTCAAGTAATTCAACGATGACTTAATTAAGGTTACACTTAAACCAACAACAGATTAGCGTCATTTAAACTACACTAACATAACAAACGGGCTTTAGTTTAAGACCTAAGTCAATAAAACTAAACAAAAGTAAATTTTAAAAAGTTTAAAAAACCCAGGGCTTTAGCTACAGACTAAAGTCAATTAAACAACGAAGTCCTGTCAATGAAACCAGTATAGCATCGGCAACTTATTTCTGTCTTGTATTGTCCAACAGGCATTTGGACAAAACCCATTTCTTTTTAAGCTGTTAAAAATAGCATAAAGGAATAGGCCATTAAAAATAGTAGTTGGAAATTATTAACGTTTTCAGCATTTGAAGTGTTAGCTAAAAGCATGAGAAATTATTCAGAGGTTTATACGAGAACTCAAGTGAGCAAGCGTAACATAATAATGTCGACCTAAATGTTAACATTACAGCCATGATTAATTCGATGTCAAATTGATGCAGTTACGATAATTGCTAGTTATGTTAATTAGCAGAGTCGAGTACTTCAGTAGAACAAGTCTCTTCATCTTTGTTTAAAAATAAATAAAAACAACTAATCAGGACGTTAGTTAAAAAAAAAAACACCAACAGAAAACATGTTTTGTTTGACAGAAAATAAAAGCTAAGGTTAAACAATCTCCAGTGTTTTCAACCACAAGTTTAATACTACAAGCAATCTAACAATGAGATTTAAACTCGGCCAAAATTAAGATCATTATCAATGTTAAAGACTAATGTATACTTCTATATAGGCCCATTTGCATATTTTATGCAACAATTAAAACTGTTGTTTTACGGGCGCTTTTTAAACATGTAGTCATGAATGAGAATCTTTGTTAAACAGACACCAGCCTTCAACACAGTAATTATGTCGTTTGTTTGACTGTATTACCGTAGAGTGTTAGAGCGTTAACTTGCACTTAGGGACGAGTTGAAATTAAATATTTCTGCAGGCGTGTCATAATGTGCTGCCATTATGTATTCGCCAGACGTGTTCAAACAAGTCTCAGGCAGAAATCTATTTCTTTAATACGACTAATGCTGAGCTCAAGAAAAAACTGTTTCAACCACTGAAACGCGTTATATAATACATCTAACGGAATGCGTTATCACGTTAAATCAACTCGTCTTTGTTTCAAACTTTTTCAACGCTGGACCCATACTAGGTGTGCATAAAAAATGAGCATACCGCACATAAAGGTGGGTTGGGTAGAGGTGGTGTGAAACCACTACAGCCTAGATCAATAAGTAAAAATTAGTTAAAACGCCCCGAGCACATAAGCACATATACCAAGTCAGTTGTCAATCTCACCCCAGCTATAGCCTTGGGCCTTGTTTATGGTGGTTAATGTGTTCGTGTGTGGAGATTTAAGCTAGACACAAGTACACACACGGGAACACACACTTCACGCTAGCAAATGTATGTAACATATACCCAGCACCCATACAACTCAAGCATCAGAAATAATAGTAGTTGCTTAAGATTAACATATTTTATGAAATACATAGAACAGGCTGGAAGTGTTGTATATTGATCTGGTGTGGTTCGGTTGTGTGCCAAATTTGATAACCAAATACAGATCTGAAATGGTCGTTCTCAATTAGCATTTATGTGTGCTCAATACACAGAGCAGTCTAATCCTTTAGTTTTCAACAGTAGTTTTATGCTGAAATCGTCCAGACATTAGCGCTACTTTACAACGGATCGGCTATTTGATGGAAAAACATTTTCGGGATCGAACGAACAAGCTTTAACGCAACATCATTTAAAATATGCATTCTAAATTAGTTTGAGGGGGGACGCATTAACACGTGATGTTTCAACAAAACTAACCTAGAAATGCGCTGTCCTATATCGCCAACAAACACTCCAGCTCGAAAATTTTAACAAGTAGAGTGCACCGGATCAGAAGTAATGCGCTACACTACTCACATATAAAGAGTGAGCCTATCATACAAGAGGTGGGAGAGTGAGGGGGAGGGGGTTAGAAAGAATAAGACGAATCCCATTTCAAATAAGGAATTAATATTGCATACATTTGGCAAGTAGAAGAAGATAGTTTGGTTTGAGCTAGATATTGTATAAAACTAGGCACGAGTATAGGAAGATTAAGATCGAGGCATAGAGATGTTTTCAATTAAGGCTGGGGACACGAAACAGTAG